GTGGGACGAAACTATGTACATAGGGTCCCAGTTACATCCAACAAAAAATCCAAATTGTAAAGAAAAAAAATATTAGTAAGATTTGAGTCATGAACTAAGAATATACAAAGTACTTATTCAGTAAACTAAGAATACACTAAACACTAATGTTACAAAAACAATGCACCAAAACAACAGCAGCACAAACATGTTTTACAACTGAGTTATATACATCTTCAGTTTTATACCAGTTTTTAAACATGTGAGTTCAATAATATGATTTTTTTTCTTTCTTTCGGCTGCTCCCTTCTTCAGGGGTCGCCACAGTGAACTAAGTTGCACGAAGACTTAGCAATTATTTTTTTATGCCGGATGTCCTTCCTGACACAACCACAGCCCTCTGTGTGGAGCAGAGAGCTGCTGTCTAGGACACCCAGAGGAGCAGATGGTGGGGGTTAAGGGCCTTGCTCAAGGGCCCAGAGTGGTGAGGGTGGAGGCAGGTGTGGGTGCTTCACCTATCCCACCCACATTTTGATGATGTCTGTACCAGGGGGTGATCTTCCCATCACATGCCCACCTGCTCTAACCTCTGCATCACCACTCCTGTCCATAAAATGTTTGTTAAACATATCACACTAACTTTTAAATTGTCTAAGTTCTTTTTGTCCTCACCAGGTAAGACGCTTATGATGTCTCTGGTTCAGAAGTGTCTCAACTTGAGGAACGAGACATTTGTAGCTCATGTCTGGAGTTAATCAGCTGATCAGGGTGAGACACCAGGAGTTTACAATATGGAACCTCTTCACAATATTCTAATTTTCTGAGACACTGAATTTTGTTTCGTCATTATCTGTAAACCATAGTCAACAAAATTACAAGAATCAAAAAGACTTTAAATATTTCACTCTGTGTAATGAATCCATGTAATTTATGAGTTTCACTTTTTGAAATGACTGACAATAAATATTGAACTTTTTCACAATATTTTAATTTTTTGCGATGCACCTGTTCTCCACTTGTTCTCAGACAGACTGGCCTACGCAACTTAACAAGGAAGATTCAGTTTCCTCCAAGAAATGCAGGCTGGCAGTCTCCAATTATATTTGAACTTTTGCAGCTTGAGCTCAAACTAGAATGTGGACAGAATAACAAGAAGGTGAACAGTTGCTGCAGAGCTCCATAAAGCTGCTGCAACCTTGATTCAGTCAAACATCGACCCTCTTAATTATACCTCAACGTCACGCTGCCATGTTTTCTGTTATGGTGAAAAAGATTACAAATGCTTAATAGTGCTAATTTTTTAACATAAAGTAGATGTTGAAACTGATGTTTTACATCACTAATTATGAATCTAAAGATAGCCTCACACTTCTTATATCAGCTCATGTGTTGTGTGGATTTGGAGTTAGTTTGAATGTGCAAAGCTGCTTCCTGGATCTGGATCACTCAACAGATTAATATCTGTCCTCTTCCTGTCATCAGGGCTGTAGGCACTAAGATCTTACCTAGATGATTTTAGTTTTTTGAACAGCACTGTGTCAGGCACGTGCCTCAGCAGCACAGTGACAAGCTCTCACTGCCTGCCTCGGGATGTGTGGCCCATTTTCTCAAGGTCACGGCAGTAATTTCCCAGCTGGTGTGTAATTTCCCCTGTGCAGTAACCTCTCATTTATCAGGCTGATTTTTTTCATTGTTCGCTTTTTAAATGTCTCAAAGCGCATTAAAAACTTGGATAAATTAGATTATGAAACATTTCTTGTTACGGTTTAATTAAGTCAAGTTTAAACATCTGCTTTTAGTATTGATTTTATTGTCTTTTTACTTGTTTAGCTTATCTGTTAGATGGCTAACGTGACTGCTGAATGACACAAGCCCTGAAAATAAATTTAGAAACACGTAACAAAAACCTTCAGTCTTGATCTTGACTTTATTGTAGATTAAACTGTTTCTTCATTGTTACTTTCCCACAAAAAAAACAATGAATTTGAATACAATTACCAACTTTTTACATTTCATTAAAGCATCTCAGCTATGTGACAATTGAAACATTGTTTTCAAAGCAAAACTTGCTCATTGCTAATTTATTAACTATGTCTTCATTTTCTTGATACAAAACAACTATATCATAATACCTTATAAGTACCGTAACTTCCGGATTATTGAGTGCACCCGACAAGCCGTGCCCACTAAATAAATAAAAAATAATAATTTTGTGCCACACTTATCTATAAGCCGCAAGTTCCCACGTTGTAACATGAGACATTTACACAAAACGTTTTTTTTTTTTTACTTTTAATTAAAAACGTATCGTAACATACACAAATGTACAGTACAGAAGTTCCTCGTTTATCGCGGGAGATCCAAACCCTGAAGCCCAGCGATAAGTGAAAAACTGCGAAGTAGGGATAGTAATACAAATAAGTAGTAGTTTATTTATATATATATATTTATATATATATATATATATCTATATATATATAGATATATATATATAGATAGATAGATATAGAAATATCTATATCTATAGATATAGATATATCTATATATATAGATATAGATATATCTATATATATGGCAGCAAGGTGGCGCAACTGGTAGAGCTGCTGCCTCTCAGCGAGCAGGTCCCTGGTTCAAATCTCGGTCTGGGGGCCTTTCTGGGTGGAGCTTGCATGTTCTCTCCGTGCATGCGTGGGTTTTCTTTTTCTCCGGGCACTCTGGTTTCCTCTTACAGACCAAAAACACGCATGTTAGGATGATTAGTAACTTTAAATTGTCTCTAGGTGTGAGTGAGAGAGTGAATGGTTGTTTGTCTCGTTTGTCTCTATGTGTCCCTGTGATGGACTTGCGACCTGTCCAGGGTGTCCCCCACCCCTCATACAGTGATCGCTGGACATGGGCAATGGCAACCCCCGTGACCCAAAATGGAAGAAGCGGGTAAAAAAAAAATGGATGGATGGATACACACACACACATATATACTTTGTAGATAGATAGATAGACACAGTGCCTTGCGAAAGTATTCGGCCCCCTTGAACTTTTCAATCTTTTGCCACATTTCAGGTTTCAAACATAAAGATATAAAATTTTAATTTTTTGTGAAGAATCAACAACAAGTGGGACACAATCGTGAAGTGGAATGAAATTTATTGGATGTGTCATTTTTTTTTAACAAATAAAAAACTGAATGCTTTTACAAAAAGACAGCCATTAATAATTAAAAGTAGCAGTCTTTGAAGTAAGGCAAATCACTTCTGTCTTGCATCCCAAATTTTAAACGTCTCAATGGAGTTAGCACTCGGGGTATGTGTTGGGGGTGGGGGTGGGGGCTCTTAACTAGTTCAACACCTAATAATAGCTCATTGTAACAGACTCACACACACACACAGGCTGTTACATTATCACACGCCTGGCAATCAAAAGTGCACAGCAAATGTGTGTTTAAATGTAACCAAGACTAGTTTACATTGTTCATCATGGACTTCTGCTCCATGTGAGTCAAGCAGCCAGATTATAGAGCTTAGTGTTGAGTCTGTTTCCTCCTCAAGCAGTCAGCGATCAACAAGAAGATGTCCAGCAAACATTAATAGTTGCATAGAATCACACACACACCACACTACTTTACACCAATATTTACTGTATGTTTTGGTGTAAATACACTTTGTACTTGTCAGTGTTTTAATGAGCAGAGTCAGCAGTGAGCGACTGTCTTAATCTGATGTTGCTTTGCCTGCTAAAATAATCTGTGTCAAGAAGGAGGGTGGACGATGAGGATTACAGTTTCCACTCTGCTCTCGGACACGTCGTGTGTCCACCCTGGATCACCTCTTAACAGCACGAGTCCTTCATGGATGTACACTGACAGCTGTTTCACTTTTGGAGTCGACCCAATTCAAGATGGCCGCCACAGAAAACTGACTTTAGGAAACATAAAAACAGCTATAATTTGACACTTTTATAGATACTTAGATAAAATTAGCTAATGTGAGAGATGAGAGTAATGCCCTAAACAACATGTGCCAAACTCAAGGCCCGGGGGCCAAATGTGGCCCTCGTTGACATCCTATCTGGCCCCCAAGATGATATTTTAAATGTAAAATATTTTTATCACTTGAATTTTTTTTCAGTAATCTTTGATTATAATGATGAAAGTGCAACAGAGAACATCAAATGAGACCAATTAAACTTTTCTTGCGGAACCTGCAACCAAGAAAAGATGCAGGGTATCTGATTTGAGTAGATTCTGAAACTGGCCCTTAGTTTGACAAAGGTTTTAATTTTGGTCCCCATTTGTAAGTGGGTTTGACACCCCTGCAAACACACTCAGAGAGCCACACGTGAAATATTTTGCTTACAACTTTGGCCTCAACCCTGACTGTCTGTTAGCAAAATATGTCATGAAGCAATTGACAGATCCTTGAAACTCCCAGTAAAAATTACAATCAATACTTCACAAAACTGGTTATAGCACGGCCAGTTTTACAGATGTGGTAGTCGCTGAGGGTAATGCTCAGCACATTCTCAAAGCACTGCACAGCATATCCTTGCTTAAAAACTGACATTATCTACAGACGGTGTGTTTGTTAGCAAAATATCTCATGAACCACTGGACAGATGTTAGCTGTAGAGCTGGCTTCATATCTCTGAGCACCAGCACCTCTGACGTCAGCCCATAAGGTCTTTTCTAAACCAAACAGCTGCAGCTCTGTCTTTTCTCAACACAACATCCTTTTAGTTCAAGACTGAGACTGGATCCCTTTAATCATCTTGTTGTGTTGTTCTCCTGGTAACCTTGTTTGTTTGTTTTGAAATGGTCTTTCGTTCTGACGCTTAAACCGAGAAACAGCTGAGTTCAGCTTCCTCTCTGACTTCATTCCTCTCCCCTCCCCTCTCTTTGTTTGCTTGCCTCTTCGCCTGGGGGTGATGATGGTGGTGGTGGTGGTGGGGGGGTGCATAGCAGCCGACGACTTGCTCTCGAGGCTGCTGATTGGAGGGTGTGAGGTGCGGGGCGGGCTGCTGGAGCTTCAGCTGTGGGGAGGCAGCTCTCAGCTGTCACAGAGGGCTCAGCTGCAGCAGAACAGGACCTGTCCCATCAGCGCTCCCCCCGCTTCAAACCACCGGAAACACTTGGTGTGTTTTTACGCAGCTGCTGCCACAAAGAAACAGTCAGAGGAATTAAACATCGAGCTGCTTCCTGTTCTTCAAGCATCAACACATCAGCTTCTGTGGACGTCGTGGGAATAACTCCGCGCCGACCCCCTCAGTGCGTCACACTGGGACCTGCGATCAGTGGATCTGGGGCCCCACCGCATTGGTGCGTGCGCGTGCGAGGAGGCTGATGCCCGCGGTGGTGTGGTCAGAGGGGGATGAGTCCGGCCATGGAGGCTCAGGCCCAGGAGGCCATGGATGCAGCGCAGAAGCAGCTGCAGCATCAGCAGTGCTGCATGGACAAAGGGGTGATGCTTGAGCCCTTTGTGCACCAGGTGGGGGGGCATTCCTGCGTCCTGCGCTTTGGGGAGCAGACCATCTGCAAACCCCTCATCCCCCGCGAGCATCAGTTCTACAGGAACCTGCCTGCTGCAATGAGGAAGTTTACCCCCCAGTACAGAGGTGAGGGAGTCTGTGTGTTGCAACTATCTTGCTTCATTTGCATGCTGGTGTTTGTGGTGGGTTTTCTTTGCACGCATGTTTTTGAGCTTGTACAGTGAAAATGGTGCATTTAGCTTCGTAAGTACAGTATTGTTTTTCCACCAGTGTACTAAAAATGACTCCACAAGAGGGCGCTGCAGCTGATCGTGAGCAGAACAGATTGGTCTTTCCTAGTTGAGTTCTGTTTGTAAAAAGCATGAAACATCTCAGAAGGTGGGAGATGATATTTGTTCCTGAATCAAACAGAATAAGTAGAAAGTTCTGTTATCAAAGCCCCCAAAGTATAATCTTTAAAAAATACTGTAAAACAGAAACAGCTAAACTTGTCCCAGACGGCATCTGTAAACCTCACACACAATATCTAATCTAATATTCATTCTTGTACAATAAATCCAAAGATCACAGGAGGCTCCGTTCTAACACTTTATCATATTTACTCGCTTTCTGTGTTCATAGATGGTGTACACCACCTCAGGCTCCCACAGCTGGTTCCTTAGTGTCCCCTCGGCAGAGAAATGTTCATGAAAACACAACATTCACTTTACCTGAATGTGAAGGTTCACATGCAAAACACAGAGCAATCAAAAATAAAATCTATTCTAATTTTAGTTTCTGCTTTTCTGTGCAGTATTCATGAGACTATGCAGTGATGATGATGAAAAGTTGTGTCCGTTTATGATTAAACAATAGAAAGTTTAATTGAAACTGATTAAAAAAGGGGTTCAAAGATGCTGGGATAAACACTGAAACAATTCTAGTCTTTTTAATTTTTGGTACTTCATCAAGATCCCGGGGCTTCTGTGCACTGTTAAAAAAATCTGTAAAAATTACAGTAAAAAACGGTCAAATTGCAACAGTAACAGGCCGTGAAACAAAACAGTATATCACTGTAGTATATGCATTGAACTACCGTAAAACAAGAAATAGAACCCAAAAAAGTTCAATCTGGTCCTCTGGACATTAAAAAAAAAACAAAAAACAAAACAAAGCAAAAAAATCTAGAAACGTTTCGTCTCTCATCCAAGAAACTTCCTCAGTCTGAGGTGCTGTTTTCAGCTCAGTCTCTTAAACAGCACCTTCACAGAGTGGATCAACCAGTTTGCTGCTGACAACCAAAACCAGCTGATCACATGCTCAAGAACATTTTCTGTTATTTCAACAGTTATGATACGTGGAAAACACAAAATTTTACTGTGAAAATCTTAAGAAATTGTAAAATTCATAGAAAAATGCCATCACAAGCAGGTTACCCATGCCAACATGAGTCAAAGTTTTATTCAAGCAGTGTTATACTCAAACGTTGCACTGAAAAATTTACTAAGGTTTACTCCTTAGTTTTGTTATTTTTGAGTGTGAGACGAGTTCTTATTTTAAAGATATTCTAACACTTTCCTCCTCAGGTGTGGTGTCGGTCAGCTTCGAGGACGATGACGAAGGAAATCTTTGCCTAATCGCCTACCCCCTGAACAGTGAGCCAGCAGCAGATCTAGAAAACAAAGACCTCTCAGCCGACTGTGAGCCGAAGAGTAAGATGCTCAAATGGGGGAAAATGATGGCGTCCTCAGTGCTTGTGGACAGCGAACATTACAGCAACTTTCAAAAAGACAAGGACAAGAGGTGAGACCAAAGACAGTGTCCCAGCGTAGTTTAGTCACAATGCAGGAGAGAATCTCACAGCGAAACTTATGCAAAGTGAAATAAAGTGGGTGCATGTTCAGAGATGTTTTAAACAATAGTTTTTCATGGATTTGTCTGTAGTAAACAAAAACGCTGGTCTTTCAGTGCCCACAAGCTGCAGGACGACATGGAGCTGGAGGCGCTGCAGCAAGCCGAAGGGCTGCATTACAGACTGGAGCACAGTCACAGCAACGCTGTGCCACCGCTCAAACACAACCCCTGGAGCCTCAAGTGTCACCAGCAGCATCTGCAGAAGATGAAGGAGAACGCCAAGCACCGCAACCAGTACAGTATCCTTCAAGAGCTTAATGCTGCCGCTCCTCTCACATTCATTAGTTTTGGTTCCAAGTCAGAGGACGTTGTTTGTTCTCCGGACACTGAAGCCACCAGAGCTGCTCTGCAGTGTTTACGTGCACTTGGTATATGTAAATGTTTACCAGAGGCTTCAGCTTGTACCTGAAACCTGTTACCTAATCCACTGTCTGGCTATTGAGTTACCATCCCAGAGGAGCCGTGTTTCTGAATCACCACATCACTTACTTGATATGTGAGTGAAAACGAGTGAAGTAAAACAAAACAAAAACAATTTTTTATATTTATTTTATTCCGGCTCTTATGAGGCAGGTTTATGTTTTCAGCACGGCGTTATGTTGCCCTTCGTTTTCTTCCTTGACTCAGCGTGTCAGAATTCATCCTCTTAGAGAACCTGACATGGCGGCACTCGGTGCCGTGCGTGTTGGACCTGAAGATGGGCACACGGCAGCACGGAGACGATGCTTCTGAGGAGAAGAAGGCCATGCAGATCCGCAAGTGCCAGCAGAGCACCTCAGCTTTGATAGGAGTCCGTCTCTGCGGCATGCAGGTCAGAAAAGTGAACATTACAGTGTTATCTAAAAAAAACTATTGAAGCTGCTCATTGCAAAGACATGAAGACCTTAAAAACATCATAAAGTAGACATATCCACACACTTTTTCTTTCTCATAGCTGTTGTTTATGTGCCCTTAAATAAAAACATTGTGAATGGCTGCCAACTACCACATGCATTTGTTCATCAATGGAAACAGCCACAGTGACTGAAAATAAATGATTCTGATATATCAGAATATATCACACACAGAACATGAAAAGTATTGGAAATATAAAGGCCTATTGCGATATCGATACAGCACTCGGTAATATTGCAATATAATAAAATTATTGATTTATTTTGCGGCTTTACAAACCAATATTTTTATTATATTGCAATATTAGTGAGTGATGTATCAATATCACAATATACCACAGGGCTTTATATTTCAGCTACTGTTCATGTTCTGTGTGTTAAAATAGATTAAATCAGTCCAGCCTCCTCTCACTGGCCGTGAGGCTCACAACTATTTTAGATGATGTGATGACTGAAGAGGAAGTGAGGAAAGTGTGGGTTTATCACAGTTGTCATACTTTTGACATGACTATACCTTCCAGCCTTTTCTACTAAATTGTATTTTTTTTTTCTCAAAGCCTCTGATAATAAAAAAAATCTATATTATGTTTTAACCAACAAACAGTGATCTTAGGACAAAGACAAAAAACAGCAGGTGGTGGACCTTTTTTAAGTTGTCTTTGTCCAGTTAAATCCTCTTATCGTCACTTTTGTTCTTCTTTTTAAATACTGAATCTTTTTAAGCTTACAAAATTAAATAAAAAAAATTGATGTTTTACATCAAACTGAGTTTCACTCACAGTCAGAAAATAGTCACAGGTCTTGTCCTCCACCAACATTTTTTGCCTGGAAGTTTAATTTGAAGGTTAGTGTTTTTGTGGAAGACGTTTGAATCTCCTGTTTCCTGGTCCCTGCAGGTGTACCATTCTGACACTGGGCAGCTGATGTTCAGGAACAAATACCTTGGCCGCAAGCTGACCTTGCCAGGGTTCAAAGAGGTTCTGTTTCAGTTCTTCCACAGTGGACGGCGTCTCCGCCACGAGCTGCTGACCCCGGTGCTGAGCAGGCTCCGAGAGATGCAGGCCGTCCTGGAAGCCTGCGAGTCGTACCGCTTTTATTCCAGCTCCCTTCTCATCATCTACGACGGAGCGCCTCACAGAAAACACTCGCGCCGATGCACTGAAGACGGGCTCTCTGAAGATGAAGAGGAGGATGAGGACGAGGAGGTGGAAGCCGAACCTAAAATGGATGAGGAGGAAGACGATGAGGAGGAGGCGGGGGAAGTGGCAGGTGCGCTTGGCTTTCCGCACAGCCCCTCCACATCCAGCGCCAGCAGCAGCGGGAGCTCAGGGATCAGCCAGGCTCGCCAGTCCCGGTCAGACCCCCACAGCCCTGTGGTGGATGTGAGAATGATCGACTTCGCCCACACCACCTGCAGACATTACAGAGAGGACAGTGTGGTCCACGAGGGCCAGGACAGCGGCTACATCTTTGGTCTCCAGAACTTGATCACAATTATCTCTGAGCTGCAGAACCACAGCACAGACTGAACCCTGAAATAAAAACACATAAAGGCACAATAAGGAGATCTTTGGCAGAACAGAGGCCCAGACGGTGCAAACCAGTCCAGAGACTCCTGCTCTTCAGAATGGTTGTAGCTGGGGGTGTTTACACCTTCCTGTTTCTGCCACTGCTGCTTTTTGTTCTCACAGTTTGTCATCAGGTTACAAAACAGACTTCAAGCAGCACAGAAAAGCCAACTGTGAGGACAACTGATTGGTGTAATCGCCGTGTTTCAACCCTCCTAACCATCAAGAAGCAGGGTGGGCCGTAATAAAAGCCATTCAGAGCTTGGCATGGTCGGTTTTTTAGTGTCAGGTTTCCAAAGAAAGTGTCATTTTGCACAAACAGCCTGAAAGACGTTCAGCAGACGTTCAGACTGAGACGGGCCTACGAAAAGGAGCAAAGTTCTGTGTGAGGACAGAAATAATGTTCAACCTGCCATTGCTCTCCCCCCGTTTGTCTCTTCTGTTCATATGTTTCTCAGAGAGCTGATGTAGAGAGATATTTATTTTGTTTCATAGAATAACTAAACATTAAAAAAAGGGTATGAATGGAGAGTAAAACATTCCATAATATGAATGTGACAATAATGATATGAAGTAATATTGTTATTTGACATGTTTGGATACCTCATTCTTGTTTGTGTTGTCCCATATTTTACTGAAGGGGAATTAAAATCTTTGTGGTAACAGCAGTGTTTTCTTCGTGTTTGCTGTTATTAGAGTAGGTCAGGACGCAAAGTACCTCTTGTTTGCATAAAATTTGAAAGGCACAGCAATCAAATTTCATGTAAATGTTCACAATGGATGTCAAACTCACTTACAAAAGGAGTCCAAAATTTAAAACCTTTTTCGAACTAAGGGACGGTTTCAGAATCTACATTAACTCAAGTTAGATACCCAACATCCTTTTCTTGGTTGCAGGTTCCTCAACAAGCGTTTGATTGGTCTCATTTGAGTCAGAGTTTCTTTATTGTCATTCGCACCTCATGTGGTACATGTGGTAGAGCGAAATTATGTACAAGTATTTTACATTTCACATATCATCTTGGGGGTCAGATAAGATGTCAACGAGGGCCACATTTGGCCCCCGGGCCTTGAGTTTGACACGTGATGGGGGTGCACACCCGATGCAGTTTCTCTCTCTTTTGTCTCTTTTTCTGAGGGTCAGTCAGTACGCGACCAATAAAAAAGACTTGTTTGTGTTCTTAAAGAATAATTAAAGGTTTAAAAAAAATGACACGCCTCCATCACAGGTTTGTATTAAAAAGGAAGCTCGTGCAGAAATGTTGAGTTCCACTGCAACAAATGTCCAGTAGAACATTGTAATCGTCTAAATTTTAAAAAGCCTATATTTAAAAAGTGTAAGGAGAGCCAGAATCAAATGAACAGGTTACCATGGTGACCACACACCTGTGTCTGTCACTCCCTGACTTCCATGTTAACGAGAGGCAGACAAACTGAAAAGTCACCCTCAGTCACTGTGAAAACTAAACACGGACCTTCGAAGTTCATGAACCAACAGCTACAAGACTTTGTTGGTCACGTGAGTGTTAGTGCTTCTACAATGTTTTATGACGAAATAAATCCTTCACATCCAGTTTTGACGGGAATAGTTTGAGTTAAAATCCAACATCTTTAGATGCCTGGGTGTGCACGTTTTGCTTTCTCTCTGCGTTTAACGTATATTTTGTGTCTGTATCAAAGAAAGTTGCAGACAAATAAAACTTTAGACAATTTAAAAGTTAGAGTGATATTTTTAGCTGTAAAAGATTTTATGGACAGGTGTGGTGGCACAGAGGTTAGAGAAGGGTAGGCCTGTGATTGGAAGGTCGCCGGTTCAACTCCCCATACCGACAACATCAAAATGTGGGTGGGACAGGTGAAGCAGCCACACCTGCCTCCACCCTCATTTGCCCCACTCTAGGCCCTTGAGCAAGGCTCTTAACCCCCACCATCTGCTCCCCCGGACGCCCAGCTCTCTGCTCCACACAGAGGGCTGTGGTAGCTCGGTGGTCTGTGGCTGCGTCAGGAAGGACATCCGGCATAAAAATAATGGCCAAGTCTTTGTGCGACTAAGTTCGCTGTGGCGACCCCTGATGAAGGGAGCGGCCGAAAGAAGAAAAAAAAAGATAATAATTTTATAGACAAAGTTGCAAAAATCTGAAAACTTCAACTGAGATTGTTAAAAACTGAAAGATTCCTGTTGACTCATGTAGAGTCCCAGGTTTTGTGATCTGTTTAAACTTTGATGTCTCCACCCTGAATTATGTCTGAGCTTCAAATAAAGAGCTGGGATTATTTCATTTGCTTTAATTCTACTGAATGTTTTAACAAATTTGATCAAAGTTGTTCAACATACCACTACCAAAAGCACACTATCCTCGATTAAAATGCATGTTTTGGTGTATATTTTACATATTTTAGGTCAAAGCTGCGTGACAAAATGCAGCAAAATGCATAATTTTCTAACAGAATAACAAGAAGGTTTTCAATCTTCATGCTGGACCTCTAAATATAACTCATGCACATGTTAACCTGAGGGCTACAGCTGATCTTCCATAATGTTGTGGAGTGCTGCCATTTATCCTTAAACCTGTCCACAGCTTTTACTCCACACTGTCTTTAAGCGTGTCTGATGAAAAGATGATGAAAGCACCCTGGGGTGCCAAAGCTAGTCCTGGTCATCTCCAACTGGTTCAAGGCAGATTGCAGGGAGCAAATCATCTGCTCTGAGTCAGAGGCTCATTGGCGCTTTGTGTTGGGAGATAAATAAATAAATGAACAAAAGCTCTTAAGCAGATGGTGGTTTGTGTCAACAGTGTGTAAGGGCCATTACCAGTCTCATGTCCTCTCTGGAATGTGTGACACTGCTGGCACATCCATCTGACAAACACCAACCAAAGGTCACACACAACTTTTGTGTTAGCTAAAGAATGACTTCATATTTGAACTAAAGTCACCCATGACCAATAACTCTGCCTAAACATGATGACACAGGATTAACTTTTAAAACCTTTTTTTTTTATGTCTACCTTATACAAGGTTCAAAAGTATTTTATCAAGTTAGCTGAATTTTACCCTCCAGCTACTCTTGGGTCAAAATGACCCACAAGGCCAAAACTGAGGCCTCATGGGTCATTTTGACACAAGGGCAATCAGAAGGTTAAGACGCGATCTATTGTGTAATATATGATTTTATCTTCAAAATTCATGTTCAATAATCCAGGTTAAAAAAAAAAATATATATATATATATTATTTTTTTTTTCCACTATGGGATGTGATAGTGTGGTACTTGTGGTAGCTACTTCAGTTTGTTTGTGGCTCCTCGGACTGAAGAAGTCCTTTGGATGAAGGACAAAATGTCTCAGAAAAAAAAAAAAAGAAAGAAACCTTCCAGATAAACCGTCCAGATGACCTGACTGAACATTGTTGGATTTGATTATATCTATGTAATTAAGAGTTAAACAATGGTGTGATTTTGTTGCTATACTGCCGGGGCCTTTCTGTGTGGACTTTATATGCTCGTTGCATTGGTCGTGAATAGCAAGCGGTCATCAGGGCACTAACGATCCATTGTGCAAAACGTCTCAGCAAAAAAAAAAAAAAAAAAAAGAAACAGGCCAGATGACCTGACTGAAAATTGCTGGATCCATTGTTATGTGATTGTGATGTCATTGGTCATCCATGGTCATCCAAGGTCATTGTGATGGTCCTCCTTTTAAAAAGTAAATAGTTAGTTCTGACTGTCAGCAGCAAATTGATCCACTATGAAAAGACTATTAATAAAACAGAGTTTGATACAGGGTCTCAGACTGAAGAAGTCTTTTGGATGAAAAAAAAATATTTCAACAAAGAAGAACCTGTCCAGAGGACTAACTGTGTTAGATTTTTCTACCTGGATTACAAGCATGCATCAGGACATTAATAACAATTATTAAATGCAAACTATTTACCATAATTAATACATTTGTTATTTAGATATTTTGGATTTTTGTATTTATCTGGATTGATAAAGGGTCTCACAGCTAAAAGGTTGCAGGGCTTTGTCTCCAGCCTGGGGCCGCATGTTCTCCTGGTGCATGTGAAGGTTTTTTACATGGTACTTCAAATTCCCCCGCATATAAAAAAACATGACTGTAATGAAATAATCTGCATACAGTGCTGCTCACAAAATCTAACTTATCCACAGTTTGTATGCTCTTTATATCTTTTAGGTCATCCCAGGTTTGTTGAGTTGGTAATCCTGTGAGTGTAGGACAGCACATCACCAAGTCAAACCCTTAGACTGAACAGACACTTTAATCTCTGCAGTCTAGGGCAGGATTTAAAGCGTTAAGAGCACATTCAGTAGGTTGTTGTTGTTAGATTTTTCTTCATGGGGCATGATGGAGCAGTGGGCAGAGCTGATGCTTCACAGAAAAACGTTTGTGGGTTTGAGCCTGGACTTTCAATGTGGAGTTTACATGTTCTCTCCTGCCTGCATCAGTTTTCTCCAGATACTTCGTTTTCCTCCCACAGACCATGAACACGCATGCTAGGTTTACTTGATGCTTCCTTTTAATTTTTAAAGATTCATAAGGCCAAAGAACTAGAGACATTAAAAGAGGCAGCATGCACCAAAATGTCAAAGCAAGGAAAGAGGAAAAACAGAAAAATAAAGTTCTGAAGCATGCATGGTGTTTATGGGCTCTTCTTCGCAGAGATGAGGGATCAATCAATGAGTGGATGGAGAAATGGAGCAGATAAGCTCTTTTATCACTAAGTGGGGAAGAAGCGTATTCAGTGTTACATAACAGCCAGGACTGATGAGCTGCTCTTCACCACCATGACGGTCCTATTCTGTCACTGTGTTGTGTTCATAACACACAACATGTAGGGTTTTTAATCCACTCCTATATATATTTTTAATCTTGTGTTTGCACATATGTGTGTCATTGGAGCCTATTGCTTTGTGGAGGTGGCCACCATAAGTGGAGCACTTGCATAACGGTGGTTAAAATCACTATGGCAACAGCAGCCAAGTATGAAAGAGTCAGTGTTTTTGGTCCCCGGTCACATCCCCTCTCATCAGAACGTGATACACCTCCTGCCATTTCTATTTTTGTTCATTAAGTCTCCCACAATATCCTGCAAACATTGAGTCAATTTTTGCATCATGCAGATAATCACATAGATATGTTCTGTTGTTTTTATGACCCTAGCTGATTTGACTATTTTTAACTTTTGTTAACTGATTTATTTTTAATGACTCTTAAATTATAGCACTTTTGAAATTTATAAATTTAAAGTGCCTTATAAATGGAATGCATTAATGTTATTATCATTATTAAATCACAGTGGTGGGTTCTTTCAGCATCAATACAAAGAGTCCCATAGAAGTGCTTTACAAAAGATGTTGATGTGTGACGTCTGTTCGATACAATCACCTCAGGCATTTATCCTTCAGAAGCTCACTCTTACATGAATGTTCGCGTTTGCTGCAGCACTGAAAGACAGCAAACTCTTCTACAGGTCTTCAATAACAGATGGAACTCTCCTGGTTGCTGAACTCGTCCTTGAACTTACTCTAACAGATATATGGTGGCACAAAATGTTAGGGGTAACATCAAGCTTTCCATTTTTATTTCTCTCAGTTTGCATTCTTGGAAGTGAGTCCGGGCTGACGTTTGTGCTTCATTCCACATATAAAGTCTTTATTTGTATTCATCAATCTGCGTGTGATTGCATGAAATCTGA